AATGAGAATGATCAAAATTATTTTTAAATTGTTTTTATTCCATGTGTTTGAAACAGACTTAGTGTTAGAGAATAAAAGCAAATTTTGTTGTATCAGCATCCTATCTACTAATTAACATATTTTTACGAGAGAAAGAAGCAAATAGATTCTGGTTTTTATTTTGAAGGAAGAGGTGGAGGGAAAGAATAGAGGAAGAGAAAATGTCCTAGGAGAAGAGAGATGATCAAAAGTTGTAAATTCATAACTGTAGTGATGGATATATGTATCTACGTGCAGCGTTTTCCTCTCTCTCTCTCTCTCTCTCTCTCTCTCTCTCTCTCTCTCTGTCCATTTGGCCACAAAGTAAAATGGACAGTCTAAAACGATGTTTATCAATATATATTTATTGATCATGCTCCATGTGCCATACACTGGTTTGCCACTGAGGATGTGTTAGCAACAACAACAAAAAACCTGCCCTAATAGAATAATACATTTTAGTCAGCATGTGGCTTAGGGTGTATTTTGTTGATTTTTTTCTATCTTGTTGGGGTTTATAACATTGTTGATAATAACACTTAGCACCTTGGATAAATACTTCTGACTTCAGATTTATTCTTGCTCAACAGCTCCATTTGATATTATTTTCCAATATCTCACTGGTTATTAGTTACTGTGGTTGTTGGTTTAATGTTTATTTAACAATAAGCAAGTTAAGATGAATCGTCTATAGAAGAAATAAAGCACAGAACAATTGATAGACTATTTCATTCAAGTAAAGTCATAAAAGGGCATTCTAAGATAATCAGAGTTGAAACATTCCCATTAATAAAGTTAGAAAGAACCAGATATTTTTCTTAGTAGTTTTGTCTCATCATTAATGAAATTATAGTTGCATAAGTTCCTAGGTAAACCAGATGTATCTCAAAATAAGGAGAAAAATTATCAGCTTTGTTTTTGTGTATTTTATCAATTAGTAGCTGCTATATATTAAGAAATTATGTTTTAAGAAAATGTGTAAAGTGGCTATTTTATTTGCAAGCTGAACACCTACAAACGAAGAAATAAAAAATAATGTATTTTATAATATTAATATAAAAGGAAAACAGTTAACTGCTCATTAATTGTCAATTAAAAGAGCCTCTTTTATTATAAGCTATAACATGTTTAAAGTCAGCAGTGCTTCATAGAGGTAAACGATCTAATCAATTAGTAATTACTTGGTTCATTTGAGGAGGCATTGACTTCAATAAAAGATTACTGGTTTCATTAAAAGAGAGAGATGTTACATTTTTAGATTTTTAAACGGACCAAATATAGCAATTATATAATTTGGATTAATATGTTACAGATATTCAATTATAGCAACAGTGTCTTAAAGTTGGACTAACAGTTTTTAAAATTGTCTTTTTTATAATGATCTGTATGTGATTACAGCTAATGCCTGTACATGGGGGGAGTCAAAGGGAAGAAAGGAAGTTTTCTGAGTAACAGAATAATTGGTTGTGAATTTTCTTTACCTCACAATTGATTTTTAAATCACCCTCCAATGATAAAGATAGCTAATACATGTAGATTTGCAATATATCTTTCTTAGAACTGTCAAAATCTTGGAAGTTTAAGTGATTTGTTATACTAATTGCAGGGCTGTAACCTTTGACCCATTTTTGCAGGTCAGATGAAGTATCTTCCTTTAAACTCTGTCTGTAGTACAAACCATCTCTATGTGCTTTTATCAACTGCCTCACTGCATTGTGTGCCAGCAAGAGTCATTTTATTTTCAAACACCACCCCAGACTGTTTTCTCAATCAAAGTGTATTTTCCTCAGTGATAACACTAAACCACTTTAGCTGTAGTGGCACTGTACCTTGGGGTGATTGCATGTTTGAGAACTATGGAAACAGATTTTTGGTCAAGCAGAATTAAATTGGATTCATTTCAAATAGATGAGATGAGTTTTTGGGGGGCCATCCTGCAGGGCAAGTAGTAGGAGAAATGTGTTTTTGGTTTTCACAGAGTCACAGAACATAAAATAGTAATCATCAAAATGTCATCTCATAAGATCTAGTTTACATTGCCACTTAAAAGTAAAAACCTTCCAAAAGAAAAGTTTTTCTTCCCTGATTAATGAACAATTTTCAGACTGATGTTTACTTAAGAACGGCATGGTTCCTATGATGAACTAACGAGTACTTTTTCCAACCCTTGTGGTTAAATGGCTTTTTAAATGTGACTATAACAATATTAATACCTTTTACTAGTATATGGATTATATAAACTTCATAAAATTTGTTTTACTTAGAATACTTAACATATAAATGTTTCCATAAGACATGCTCATCTCAAAAAACCAGAAATTTCCTATAATGCTAATTTCAGAAAGTGATGATTTGCAAATATTTGATAGTATAAAGATTTTCAGATGCTAAGAACTTCCTGGGGATAGGGGGAAGAATTTCATGCAATATTTCTGGCTGTTAAATGATCCCTCCACTTCTGTATAATTTGGCAATGTCTTGCGGGTATATATGTAGCTTTACATACATAAATAAATGTGAACCAACATGCAAAGGGCAATATTCAGTCCTGTTGGTTGCCAGGCTGTAAAGGAAGGAGAGTGGAACCCTGCGATTTCTTTTAAGATCAAGATTGTGACATTTATTCTGGTGCAGGCTTTGTATCACATTTTGTGATCTTTTAGGTGCTTTCCTTTAAGAATAGTTTACAAGCTCTGTACCTACTGTAGAGAATATGGATTCATTGTAATGCCTTTTACTTCAAGAGAGTGCAGTGTGATGGGAAGAGCACAGTGAATCAGGAAACCGGGTTTCCACTTTCAGCACAATCACTACCTTGTGTAAGTTGGACAAGTTGCTTAATTAACCTCCCTGTACTTTGTCCTGCTACCTCCTTACAAGGGGATTGAACCAGGAATCTCTTGAGTTACACTGAACTCTAAAATTTCATTGTCTCTAGCAATGAGGCGCTTAGGTCTTCTGATGATTATTTAATGAAGCACAGGTTTCATCCTTGACCTTTACACAGCATGGCCATGCCCTCTCGATTGGCCTGTATCACCCTCATGTTCCTGGTGTCCCAGTGTAATTATTATTCATAGTATCCCTTTTCTACTCTCAAAAGCTCCCATTTTAGTCTAGAAATTATATTGCAATCTTCTTGTACAACAGACATAAATCCTTCTTTGCAAGAAAATCATACTTCATAAGAATAATACATAGTGAAGCCCTATCTTTACATTCAAAACCGAAACTGACTGGTATCTTTACCCAGTTTCAGGAGTCGATAGGGTTTTTCATCTCATTTCAAAAATCTTAAGAAAGGAGAGAGAAGAAGGCTGTGGAAGAGTCTGGTTCTTGACTGGAAAGACTATGTTTGCAACTGTTAGTAAGAAATTAAATTATGGAGTGGAGCTGAATCAGCAAATATGAGGGAAATGTATTGGAACAAGTCTATGGCTCCAGTTAGGTCTTTTCTTTCTTTCTTTGTTTTCCCCAGAGTAGAGTTAGCAAATCTACTCAAGTAAACGAAATGTTGGGTATTTAAAAGAATTGCTAGGTTGTCAGAGAGATGTATATTTTACATACGCAATGTCCTATAGAAGTCAATGGCATTTTATTCTTGTAGAATGTCTCACAAAGAAATTCAACTAGTATTCAAGCAAGAGTATCTGTATATATTGGGCACCACTATTTCTTCAGAGCAGATTTCAATATACGCATGAAAAATTAATACTATTTGCTGAAAAAATGTAAATAGAGAGCACAAATATTACCATGAAAAATATTTAAAATTAACAAAATACATTTTGTAACTTCAAAGAATAAATATTTTATTTTTTATTAAAAATATTAATGAGCCTTAGCAGTGGCTTCATTATTAAAAATAATTGCATTACTTATAATTATGTATGTTCTCATAACCATTCTGCATTTGGAAATACTGATGACATGAATAATTAATTTTATTTTCCCTAGCCCAATCGTTCTGCTGAATTCACTTACATTAATGTGCATTTTTACAGCAGATTTTTAGTGCATATTGGAAATAAAAACACTTGGGGATAGATTTTAAAATATATAGAAAGGCATATGATCCTGAAACTACTGGTGCTGAGTAAGAAAAGTATAATTCATTGTCATTTTACATGTAGATAAGCA